GATGAGGGGTGAGGATGGAGGGGGGTCCGACCCAGTTGGCCTGTAGTGGGGAGTGTGCGTTCCGGCCCGGCTGTGACGGGCGGTGCTCTCAGCCAACTGTTGCATGGCGGGGATGGAGCTCCTCAAAGTGGATTGGCCTCGTTTCGTAAACCTCTCGGGGAATTATTTTCTCGCCCTGCTGCGAGGGCAAAAAGTGTCGGAGGGCAAAAGATTTAAAGATTTGTTCAAGGAAGAAAAGAAAAAAAAACGCTCCTGTGGTCTCCTGTGTTTGAGGAGTTTTTCAAACTTCTCGGCTGTGAGTTCCCACCTGGATGCTGATTGGCTGTTGACTTGTTTGTCGTATTGTTCCTGTCGGTTGTTCCGGGGGTCGTTCTGTGGTTTTGATAAACGTCTGAAGATCATTCTCATCAACATCAATCTGCAGTGGGCTCCAATTTTTTAATTTTTAATTTTTTTCTTAAAAACAACATAAGGGTCGTGGACCACAGAGTGGCAGCCAGTCCCATTTTGAAATCATTTACTGTACTCTGTTGTACTTAAATACAACATAATATAAACATATACTTTATACTGCAGTTTGATGCGTACTGGTGTGACCGTTGACAACCTCAGCCTGTAGGAGGCGATCCGCGAGCTGCAAATTTGTGACTTTTCTCTAACTGGAACCAGTTGGAAACATTTACTGTATTCTGTTGTACTTAAATACAACATAATATAAACATATACTTTATACTGTAGTTTGATGGTGTGACTGTTGACAACCTCAGCCTGTAGGGGGCGAGCTGCGAATTTGTGACTTTTCTCTAACTACAAACACATTGTTTTTCCCTGTGCTGGTTGTCTGTGTAGATGCCTGATCATAAATACATCACTGGTTTCATAAATAAATACAAAAAAAAAAAATTTTTTGTTTTTACGGCCGCAGACGCAGCGGCTCCTGTGCTTCTCCTTCTGTTTGTTTGCTCATGTGTGTCGTGTCTGTTTGTTGTCTTGAATGTACACAGGAGGTTTGGACAGCGGGCGGGTCGGTGACCGGAGGTGACTATCAGACTAGTCTAGCCAACTATAGCAACTAAACAGTAGACTCTGTATCTTATACTCCAAGTCTTTAGCTTCTAGTCTTCTCACTCTGCTCTACACGCACAAAAGTGACAACTAGTGGTTCAAAGTGGCGTTGACGTCAACTTTTAGTAGAAATCAAATCTTCTCTTTTTTTTTTTTTTTTTGCCTCACTCTTGTAAACGCATGTGGTTGAACCGTAGAGGCCGTAGTCTCTGCCGTAGTGACCTCTGCCACCTCGTGGTTCCGGACTAATCTGTAGCGCTGTACCTTCTTACCGTCGGTGGCTGTACCTGCAGCACAGCGTGGAGTAGTGTAGTCTGAGCGTAGACTAATATAGAGGCGGTCTGAGACCACAGACTGACCGCCTGTCTGTGACTGCATCTTCATGGCATGGTGTGCTTCTCTCTCCAGTGCTAACTCTGGTGACACCTAGTGGCACCTGTCAGATTATTACGATTCATTCTCTGGTGAAATGACACAAAAACAGAGAATGAGTTTTTTATTTATTTATTTATTTATATTTTTTAACTAGTTTGATGACAATCATATAAAGTGGACCGGAGGTGGGCAAACGTTTGGCTCTCGGCCCAAAACGAGGTCCAAAATTTGACTGGCGGGCGAAATAATTTAAATAAAATGTACGAGAAAAAATCCTGAACTTTCAAAAGTAATTCAGCAAATTTGATGTCTGACGCCACCTAGTGGCATCAATAGAAATTACACGATTTGTTGTTAAGGCATAAAAAAGGCGGACCTATGTGGCCCACGGGCCTTAGTTTGCTCAGATCTGTAGTAGATTAATGGATATTAATTCGTCAGTGGCTCCGAACGCACAGTTTGAACTATTGGAACAATTTGGTCCAATCATGAGGTATGATTGACCACGAAGCAGTCGACTGCGTTCCCCAACGCTAACCTAGAGTCCCGAGAGAACTGTGGGTCGTGACCCGGAAAAAAACAGATCTCAAATACAGTCATCGACAGTGGGTTTTTTTTTTTCTGCAGCTAGCGTCAGCCTCATAGATAGATGCGGAAGCTCGGCGCCCTTGCTCCTCCGCAGTCAGGACGCCCCCTGGAGGTCAGTCTTAGGGGAAGACTCTGAAGCAGATCCTGGTTTGCCTGGATCCTCCAAGATGAACTGATGAGAAAAGACAACCGGTCCTCCCCGCACAGACTCCCTGGTGCCCCCTGGTGGCCTGAGGAAGAAAACGAAGAAAGACGAGATTGTTTTATATAACAAACAGATTCAGTGACGTGAGGGCGTGAGTGTGCGGTGGAGACAGCAGGTGTCTCTCTCTCTCTCTGACGTCGCTGCTCTGATTTGAAGTAGGCGTGGTGGACACGCGGTCCCAGGGGAGGAGACCGCGATCCACCTGGGTCGGTTACACCTTGGTGGTTGAGTCATTATATTAAAGAGGAAGCTGTGATGTCACAGAAGATGGGAGAAACCTGATAGGTTGTTGATGTATCTGCATCACCACGCAGCTCTAACCGGCACTCTCCCCTTCTCCCCCTCCTCCTCTTCAGATCGATCCCAAGGTCGCATTCCCACGTCGAGCTCAGCCCAAGGTAAGAACCTGTCTGTTCTGTTGGTCTGTGAGTGTGTGTGTGTGTGTGAGTTGGTCCCAATGACTACTTTATAGTGTAAGTGTAAAGGTCATCGAGGTCAAACTGGGCCTCATTGAACTGTCCCATCGTCCCTGTGACTTTTTTATTTTTTATTTTTTTAAAGAAGCAGAACTAAAACCTTTTATTTTGAAGAGACTTTTCACCAGTCCATGGGTGTTTTGAGAGATGATTTTATTTTGAAGAATTGGTCATTTTTCAAAATAAAAAAACATCTTTCACTGATTATCTGTGAAATGCATATTTTTAAAATATTTTATAACATTATTTAATAGGATGATTAGCGACATTATACTTATATTGTAATTAACAGAATTGAATAATAAACTCATTGAATAATGACTCTTGTCCTGGTCCTGGTCCCTGACCCTAACTCTAACTCAAAAATGAAGCATTTTCAGATTAGTGATAAAAACAGCTAACATAATTAAAATATATAGATATATATATGATTTGACAATATATAGACTTAATAAACATAATTTGCTAATATATAGAGTTTAATTATCCTTTAGGAGTTCATATAACGGCTATAATTGTTATTTTTCTTTCTTTGTTGTGATTCGTGTACAGGTTGATTAAAAGGTGTACTGGCCCTTTAAGACCGTATATACGCGCTTTAAATGGAGTTTGAGAGCTACGGAAGTGAACGGTTTCCCGTACCTTTATTTCTGCGTTCAGCTAATAATTACAAGAGTTACATAAATATATATGTATTAACTTCGAGACGTTTGAAACTGAGTCATAAAACGGAGAGTTTTTTCCTCTTTATTACGACAGCGTTTCTGCGGCGGAGCTAGGCTAATTTTAGCCACTGCCTGTGGAACGTAACTTTTTGCCGTCGACAGACGATTAAACCATTCTAATTATTATTATTATTACTTATTATTAATGAATTATTGAATTAATAACGTTGAGCGGGAACGACATTAGACGAAGAACGACGTAAAAATGTGTCAAACGTTCACGTCGTTTGTGTCGTTTCTCTTTGTCCAGTTGGTGACTCGAACCAAGAAGATCTTCGTGGGGGGTCTGTCGGTGAACACCACCATCGAGGATGTCAAGCAGTA